ATGTTTTTTTAATAAAAATAAAACCAAACATTTATTTCTTAAAGCCCAAATTAATACCACTTTATTATTTCTTGCAAAATAAAAACAAAATATAAATAACAAAACGAATATTCTTAAAAAAAAACAAATAAAATTCCAAGTCAGTCATATTTAGTTAGCCTTCCGCGTTTTCAGTGTTCTGCCTTTTTGTGACAAAAGCATCTAATGTTGTTTGCCTTTTTCTTTTGCGTTGTTCTCTTAAAAGTTCTTCATAAACGGATAGAGCATCTCTAACACCACGCCTTACTTTTGAGCTCCTGTCGAAATTCGGATCATTTTCAATGAATCGATCCATTATTTCAGTTATGGTAGACAAACTCCTTTTTACAAACGCCATCGAAAGTTCTTTTGCTCTTCTTCTGAATCACTGCTGTCAACATTTTTGTTTTCTTCTTGTTCAGTTAATTCCTTGAGCTCATCATTAGAAAGACTAGCCGCTGCTTCTTGAATTATTTCTTCGACATCTTCCACATTTACCCCTTCAAAATATGTCTGTACAATACCGCACCAAACAAGAAATACAAGTACACTCTTTCGGATATGTATTTGAAACCTATCGCTGCATAATATTTCGGGGAATCCCCGTATGCTGCTAGCGATTTCGTGGAATCCCCGTATGCTGCGAGCGATTTCGTGGAATCCCCGGGTTGAAATAAAAGAGCGCTAAACCGAAACAGCGCTAAACGAAACAGCGTTAAGCGTGGTCTTACTGTATTTGTCAATTAAAAAGGTGTTTAAAGGTATTTTTAAAATAATTAAAGTACTATTTTACTCGTGCTAAGCTAAAGTTACATAGTAAAGTAAAGAAAGTACAGTCTTGAGTGGTTGAATACTCCTTTGTATGACATATTTAAAACATACATAGCTAAGCTGTCATACTCCGCACAAGCGGTATTTCATAATTATTAGCTCTCTTTTCACGTATTACATATTATATAACAGATGAGAAGAAGTGGCGGCCGAGACGTCAGAATAGCGAAGATAATCTTATTGTTCTCAGTAGAAGGACACAGAATAGGTTTGTTGCTGATGGTTTGATTAAAGTTACGATTTAATTACCAACTGGATAAAGCATTTTACTTTGTCGTTATGTAAATACGTGCTTCATTAGTGTTATAAGAATCTAGTAACGGGAGTTCGTTTTTATATGGCGCCCTTCAGGAATATTTATTATTAGCACAAAACTGTTTTTAGGGCAGAAATGGAAACTAACGAGAAGAAAAAGGAGAACTAAGATGTTATTCCAAATTACAGTTTATTTTTAGTCGAATAGGGCTTTGACCCTGAGGGACTATTGTTTTCGTTTTGCGATTTTGCGTCGAATCACTCTGAATGTCCGTTTCACTTTTCAAACTGTTGCCACCAAATATTATCACCCTGTATTATATTTGAAGAAATTAAGTAATTAAGAATCTGCATAAATGTATGTTTCTCTCAATGTGATAAAACAACGGTACCTACAGCCATCCCATTTTGAATGACGTAATCCTACTGCGAATATGGCCATCTGGAAGGCCAAATTTTAAATTTTTAAATTTGTTTTATGATCGATTTCATATTTTGTAAAACCTTAACAAATTTTTTATTAATAAACTCAAGGATTTCAAAGCTAGCAATGGCAACGTTGTACAGAAAAAACATTTTTATCTCCAGCGTGCGAGACTACGTACCGGAAATTTTAAAGGATATGCTCGATTTAAAATTATTTTGCGATATTGTTCTTGAACTGCATTGTACGGTTTAAGTGCGAAGAACATGATATTTAATAAATAAAGATAACACACAATATGTTAAAAAAAACGACCCTTTGGACGTAATTTAAAATCTGAAACCTTTCAGATTTTCTTTTTTTTTTTAATTCTTTTTTTTTCTCTTCTTTATATAATATGTAATTGTACGTATAATATAGTAAATGAAAATAAGTATAAGTAATTTCGAAAAAAAGCTGCTTTGTAAGACTTAAGTGTTTAAAAAGAGTTAAAGCCATCAATAAAAGTATTTCTTTTTGAGAGACCATTTCTGTTCGTTTGCTAGAAAAGAAAATTATTTTAAGAATTTGCTGAGATATTTTATGCTTGTTCCTGCTGTAATTAAAAATTCTTAAATTCTGTAATGAATTTTCTGAATTTTTTTCCAAATGCCGGACACTAGCCGTTATAGGCATTGGCCCCTACTAAGGCCAGAAGCACTGGTCAGTTTATTTATGGGTGGGCCAACGTTACCGCTTATGAATGGGCAGACCATTTACACCCATGCCTTCTCCGGGATTCTAACCTGGGCCCTCTGGACGGCAGTCAAAGTCACTAACCACTCTCCCGTCTGGGCGGCATTTTATAAATTTTAAAGTTGTGAAATTAAAAGATAACATTCAGTTGCATGATTGTGAAATTCTAAACAGAAAATGTTCAGTCAGTTTATAACACATTTATCTTTCTTGCAAAAACGTGCAGCGAAAACAAATAAAGGAAAGTTTATAGTAAGGTAAGTACGTAGAGATTCAAAATTAGAGTTTTAAAGAATAACAAAATATTGTAAAAATTGTTTGTAATATATTGCATTCTTTTAATAACGGTAATTTTAGTTTATGTTATATTTTGCCTTTAGTGCACTTTTTTGTCAATTTGTTTTATGTTAATCTAATTACAGTACTCGAAATTTGTTTTTAAGTATTACTTGCGCAAAATAATTATAAAAATGGAGTATAATATTTACGAAGATACTTTTCAATCAGTTATACCTAAATCACAGGCAAGAACACAGGCAGAAACAATCGATATGACACTTTTCGATAATGGAATATCTCGCTTAATACAGTCGGACTTTGACAAGCTGAAACTGAGTAAAATATATAATTCAATTAGTGGAAAATTCTTTTCATCGAGAAAATTCAATATTTATATTGTGCATCCTTCATTGCGACATTCAGCTGATTTCCTAGCAGGTGACAGGTGACAGCAGGACAGGGCGCCCGGACGGCTTTCTATGACTACTCGGGTATTCCCCTGGCCCTGCAACAAATTGATTTCCTAGCAGATAAGAGGAAGGGAGATTGCGTAATTTTCTGTAAATACAATATCATGTTCGACTATTGTGAGATTTGAAGGCGAAAAAATCGCTTGGCGGATTAAAATTGTAAAACGAAAGAAGTGAAAAAAAATCAACCTCTTCGTTGACTTAATAGAGATATTCCACGCATTCGATCTCGTCCATTTCGTCCTCTTAAGAGAGATATTCCACTCATTTGATATAATTTTTAGTTTGCTGTTCTTGTTAAAAAAAACGGGGCATGATTGTTTAGCGAATTATCTGTATAGATTCGGGCTCTATCGTAGACCTAACTGTAAAGCGAGATGCTCAAATTATTGATACGAATTGCATTGAAAATTGTCCATTCTTAGGGACGTAGTTTTTAAAGATAATGGAATATTAGGCCTATGATTAAGCTTTACGGACAGGACTTTTTTCAACTTTCTTTGTTTTAAATTAAAGCTTTTACCACGTTTTAATACTTATTGTTTCCCTTGGTGCGTTTTTAAGCATTTATTTAAAATTTTGTATGCTTTAAAATTTTTTCTGTATATTTTTCATTCTTTCTACTTTTGTGCAGGGACTTTCTACATATTAGTGAGGAATCTTGTATTAACAGCTACTGTTAGAAATAATAATAAAAATAATAGGAGATGACGACATTCCAATTTTAGTTATAGAAACTTTCGACATAATCGAAGTTCGAGCAATATACTTTCTGCTGTGTGTGAATAAATAAGAAATCTGAAATTATTTGAGTCATGAGCATCAACTTATCAAATCTGTAGCTCATGAGTGTAATAAGACTGTTCGCCCATGACATTTGTGACAACAGAAATGCGCACGCATGATTTGTACTGAGCGTTTAACCAGTCGCGTGAAAGGGTATAGTTTATAGTCTTTTTAAGTTTTAAATATCCCATATCATTTCCCGTAGCTTTCAAAGGTAAACTAAGTAGGAATTAAAAGGTAGAGTAAAAATAAAGTGGGAATTAAAATTAAGAGGGAAAAATCACATCAACTTCCTGCTCAAAGCTGTAGCTCATTATTGTAATAAGACTGTCCTCCGATGACATTTGCGACAATGAACAGAAATGCGCATGCATGATTTGTACTGAGAATTTATGCAGTCGCCTGGAGGATTAAAGTTCTTAGTATTTTTATGCTGTTATGTCCCATATTATTACCCGTAACTTTCAAAGGGAAAATTAAGTAAGAATTAAAATTAAGAGTGAAAAATCAGGAATGATCTAAAAATTTTTAATTGTTGAAAAAAATGTTAAAGTTGTTATCTGCTAGTAAAAATGCATTCTTAAATCTCCTCTTACACTAATTTTTATATATGACATACCTACTGAGAAATCCGAAATGTTTTGGTCCAGTTTTAAAGTTATTCCTTGCCTGTTCAAAGAACTGAGTACTCAACGTAGAAACGAAAATATTTTTTTTACGATTAGTCCAAATTAAAAAGTGAAGGGAAAAGTTGATTTTATGAATCATGTTGTCTGTTAAAATTGTTATAAACTTTTTTTAAATTTATACTGCCAATGAATTACCAATCGAACTCCCGTTGTAAAATGATATTATGTATATAGAATTTAATTTTTTACTACAAGATACAATGACAGCTAAAATATTTATTTTCAATATTACCCAATACCTGTTACCCAATAAGTATCGTAAAGCGTAAGTAAAATTAAATATTTTTTATTAATTGCATGTAACGATAGTTGAACTTTTTAGACGTGATTTTTTACAGCTTTGTAATGGAAGACATGTTAGTTTATGTCTGCCATATTAATATACAAGTTTTAAGTTTTTTTTTGTTTTGTTATCGATAACACAATGTAATGAACGTAATACATACTTCATGCATTAAAATAGGTTATTTTATTTAATATAAAATATAACTTTTAGATATTAATGAATTTCAGATTGAAACAGCTGATGGTTTACTGGTGCATCTCACAAATGTATTTCAATGGCCAGCACGCGAAGTAAAGCGTGGGGGCCAACACATCCGAGTGCTGCCTTTCTTATAAAGTGTGCCAAAGAGAAGGAAAAATTACGATCTACTTTGCAAATCCAGTTGCAGGATCACATGCATTGGTAAATTTTCCTTTGCATTAAAATTTCGCCGAAAGGAACTATATTTTATATATATATATTGAAATTAACCAATAAAAGATGTATACTGAAGTAGCAAAAATAATATACTATAAATTCTTTTCTCCATATGTTCGATTTTGAGCTATTCTCATTTCTAATTATTAAAATGTTTGTTTATGTTTTAAATACATATTTTCACCTAAAGGTGTTCTATTATTATTTTCATGTATCAAATAACTATGGGCAGGGTTTTGAGATCGCATAGTTTAGATATAAGACTAATAACCTTTTTTGGTAAAACGTTTTTGAAAACCCAATTTAAAATTATTAACGTTATTTTTAATTATTAAGATGTACACATAATTTGTTATTTAAGAAATCATATTCACATGAAATATGTTAAAGGATGTAGGTGTTACTTTTAATGGAGCGTAAAATATGTTGATATAGATTTTAATTAAAAATGAAACAAAATATAATTATTTTGAGTATATAAATCTTTAGAATCATGCATATTGCCATACTTATCTTTCCTGTATTTATTAAAGAAAATTGATTCTATAAAACAAACTGTGAAATCTTACTTGTTTCTTAATTATGAATAAAAAATTGAAGTAATGCTGTGTAGATTTCCATTTTTTATTTAACAAATATTTTGCATTAAAAATTGTATGTTAGTGTACTGAACTTCTAATCACTGTTGTAAGATTGTAGATTTTTAAAATAATGTTATGATCTGAAAAATAATTTAGAAGGCTTATAGTATAACCATAATTTGCTTAATGTGTGATTCAATTTTTGAAATTTTAAATTATTTCTGTAAATTATTAGAAAAGTTATTTTCACTTTGAATACCTGTAACTTTTAAATAAGGATGGAACATCCGAATTCTTTACTTTCGCGATTTTCGAAAAAAATTCGAGGTACAAAAAATTCTACTCTTCGTGATTTTTTTATAATTCGAATCTTTTAAATCCTAATCTAAAAACCTTGAAATTTTTGGAAATAGATTTGTAAAGATCTGTAATTATAGTTGATTTACGGCATTAATCTCATCTCATCGACGGCCTTATATCCCACTCTTACTTCCTTGGTGATTATTTAGCGTTCCATATTTAGTGTTCACACATATTAATTTTTGAAATAAATCTTTTTCCTCCTAAACTTAATTTGAGTTTAAAAAAAAAACTATGGAAAGAGTGATTAAATATTTCTCAAATGATATTCCACTTTGAGAATTTATTTGTCTTTCATTTGAGCGGAAACTGGACGTCAGATTTGAAGAGTTTTAATTAGGGTATATTTTTATTAAATTTTAAAATTTTAAATTTGTATTCTTAAATAAATTTTAAATTTAACCAACTCAGTTCAGTTTCTCTATATATATAGTTATATATATAGTTCATATATATATAATAGTATATATATAGATCAGTTTCTCTATAACTAAAAGCTTTTAAATATTAAGTTGTTCTTTTTTTTTCTGATCACTCTTATAAGAAGCTTTAAAGAGCTTTGAGAACCTTTTGAGTTCAGGTTTGAGAAAATGTAGGCTTTTTTTTTTTTTTTTTAGGACTCTAGTTTTAAATTTTCTACATGCCATGTAAATGCTGTAAATCTTAAAATATTAAATACCGGTAAATACATATCTTAAAGTATTTAACAGGTTTAATGTTTAATAATTTAACATGTTTTATTTTAATAGCATGTATCAGAATAAATTGTTTTCTGATACATTAATTGGAGTGAATGCTGCTAAGCCAAGTTACAATGACAATAAGGCAGAAAACCCTAACCAGCATCCTGATCTTCCTCAGCTGTTTCATGCTCATAAGTCAGTTTTGAAAGTTCGCACACCAGCTTTTTACCATCATCTTCTTGAACATCAACAATCGAATCTCAATGTGCAATCCTACAATTCTTTCCTTGGAGAATCTGAATTGCAAGAACTTCTAAGGTACTAATGATATTTTTTAAACATTTATTTCTTTATGTGATGCTAAGTGTAACAAGTACACCAGCTGCCTTAATTTTACAAGAAAAGTGAAAGATACTTGCAATTTTATTGCAACATTTTCGGCCATTAATTTTCAGATATCCTATATCAGAACAGGCCCGCCAGCGGCCGAGCGGTAAAGTCGCTGAACACTGGTAGTTCGGTCCGAGGTTCGAATCCCGCGAACGGGCTGGCTGCATGGGTGTTTTCGTGGTTTTCCCTATGTGTAACGTGTATACGAGCCAGTTTCCCTTAGAAAGTCCTCCACGAAGGCATCCCTTCCCTTAGGCAGATAGCCCTAGTGTGCTTTGCCATAATTAAATACACCACACCACCTATATCAGAACATATGTGTAAAATATTGATGCAAAGGCTGTCTCTTTTTATGTATATAAATATAGCATATAGACTGCGGATCAAGCTGCTGAATAGATATTAAGCTGCTTGTTATATTTTAATAGTGAAAAATTTTACAAAGTTCTCAAGAAATACATTTTTAATTTTGAATCTGAGTTTTGTTATTTTATTACAGCGGTTATGAATTTTATTACTGTAATTATGAATTTTATTACTGTAGTCATGAATTAACTATTGTTATTGTATTATAATTATTATTATGTTATAATAAAATAATTCATAAATATAATTATATTTTTTCCCAGTAAGATTAATATTTTAAATGAGATTTTGCGCCTCAGTTTTAATTAAGAAAACTGATATTTTAAAACTGAAATACAGTAGTAAATTCATATGTTTATTAATAATGTTATATATCTTTTATATTTTAGGAAAATATATACTGATGACGATATAAGGAAATATGAATGTGAAGCTCTTCGGTTGAGTAAAAAATATAAAGAATTGCTTTGCCAGAATAAGGCACCTCTTAATAAGCATATTGTTGAAGTAGATGAATTTGAAAAGGAATCCGTGAATTCAACTTGTACAGACAATTTTGTTACACCTAAAACAAGCCCCGTCTCACCTGAAGCAAAGTTAGATGTTTCAGATTTGTTTAAAAATGCCCAAAAAAGAAATTATAACGGAAATTGTATAATTGATGGTAACAGTAATACGGTCAATATGATGAAAGGATTGCACCCAATTTCAAATTTACCAGAGGAACATAGAGAAATCAATAATAAACTGGCAACAAAATCTTTTAAGTCGAATGGCAATGAAACTTTAGAAGAATATTCAACGTGTGATGACAAAACTAAAAATGACACTTGTGAAAAAGAAACCTTTTCCTCATATGCTGATGCTATTGGCTCCGATCAAGAAACTGAAGCAGATTTCTCTAATATTGGTAGCATGGTTCGGAGTAATACTTTCGATTTAGAAACTCAAGGATCATTAGATGATGCAGCTGATGATAATTTAGAGTGGTGCAGTAGAATTTCACAGGAAGATGATTTTAAAGAGGAAGAAGGTAGCAGAGAAAAACTGAAAGATGTTTTGTCTTCAAGAAGAACGGATGGAACTGGATTTTTCCTGCATGACCACACACCGTCACCAAAATCAAATATATTCAAACATAGTTTTCTAAAGGATTCTTCCTATATTAATAATCACAACTATGAATCAGACTCTAGTACGTCTGGTGTACATTTCCGCCGGTTCGATGGCAGTATGAGTGACTCAGGATTTATGTCACATAGTACCTTTAGTGTCATTTCAGATACTGGTTTTCCTAATTCAGTTTCTTCATCTTTAATTATGTCCACTGATGGCATTTCCAACTCGCCAGTCACGAATATGAGTAACGGCACTGAAATGAGTTTGTCTAAATTAGATAAATCAAAATGTCTTTCAGGATCAATGTTTCCATTTTACATTGACATCAACAATTTGCCTCCAGCCTCACCTACCCATAAGAAAGAAAAGAAATCAAGCCCTTCTCATACTTATATGTACATTGACGCCAGTAGTCCGAAACGGAGTCGAAATGCACTAAGAAGACCACCTTATTTAAATAGTTCTTACGAAGAATTTTTTTCAGAATTTGAATCTGATTATGAATATCCAAAACAGATGCCACTTATGAAAGCACAGTCAACTTCTCAATTAGATATGTATCGTGGAGATTTTAGAGCCAACAGAGGATCAGACAAACATAAAAAATTTCGTCCCCAGTCTTGTTATATGTATGTGGATTTAGACTCTCTCAAAGTTGATCAAACTGGAAAATATTCAAAAGAAACAGCTGGAAAACAGGAACCTATGTCTGTTTCGATGTTCATAAATTTGAACGAAGATCATAATCAATTAAATGAAGATCACAGTGACATAAATCATAAAGATATTAATGTAAACTCGGTGTTAGATTCTAAATCAGAATCACAGTTAAAACCTCAGATGAAAGAGTACTGGGCATCAAGTGATAAAGTTAATGGTGAACATAAACGTAAGTTATCAGATTCTTCTTTAGCAGATAGTATGCATCATTATGAGTACAATGTGAATTTTCAATCCTTATCAAGGCATAATGAAAGTAGATCTGCCTCGGCATTAGATTATCAGTATGTTAATACTCAAGAAAATCCTTTATCTCATAAAAGAAATATAATTCCAAGGAAATCTCATAGCGCTCAGAGGTACTCTGATGGTATTTACTACGAAAATTTATGTCAGAAGAAATATGCCCCTGATTTGTGCAATTCTTATGAGAACAAAATTTGGAATACTGCAAAAAATTCGTTTGGAAAAGATCTGAAGCATATCAATCAAACAATAAAAGTTATGCAGTGCTATGATAAAAATGAAGAACCATCTGGCAGTTGTTCTGATTTAGGAAAAACCAGCACTTGTGACAAATTATTTTCTTCTGATAAAGTGAAGTGGAAATCTACTGGAGATATGGGCAAAACTAAATCTAATAAAAGTGATGAAGAAGGCGGCTTACTGCCCATGAGTCCAATTTTGCGCCGAAAATCCCAAACTAAAGAAGTTCCCAAATCTGCTCCACCTCCAGTTCTTGTCAAAGCCTCTACGAAGCCCCAGGACATAGACGCAATGACTTTTCCTAAATCCTTGAAAGATATTGATGATGCTCAAAAAATATCTAATAGGAGTTCCCTGGATGAAAATAAACCAGATCTTATTTTATGCCAATCCCCATCTCGTAAAAAACTTGATCGAATAGATGATTCGAAGAGCTCTAGCGAAAGCTCAAGACTAGGCTCGGAAGGCTTATTTGAGTTATGTGATTTAAAAGATAAAAATATTGATACCATGAGTAGGTCCGGATCATCTCTTATGACTATAAGCGGGGGTGATTCATCTTCAGACAAACACGTTTCTCATGATCCAGTGAAAGAAAAGTTCACTCATTCTCCATTAACTCTGTCAGTATCTTGTGATTTTGAAGATGATTCTGAAACTGTTTATTCTGAAGTTTCAGATGTGAGCTCATCTATAGGTGGCATCAGTGGAGTTGCTAGTTTGGAACGGCGTTGGAGAGAAGCTCAAAATCTACAAGTAGATCCAAATTCAAAAAATAGTAGAACTGCACGTCAGATGTTAGAAGCCTGTTCCAAACTTGGTGAAGATCTACTAAAAATGTTTTTAGATGAAATTGACACCGACATAACTATTGAAGTTGAAGAAAAACAAATTAAAGCTCATAGGTAAGTTAGGTGATGCTTATTTTTAAAAGGTTCAGAAATACACTTTTGGATTTATAATGATTTATTATTACTAATTATTTACAATTTCTCGGCTTGTGCCACTTCAGCCATTAACCGTTTTACTTCTCAGTACTTTGGGTGACAATTAAAACTATTAATGTTCTTTTTTCGTAAGAAATGCTCGTGTTTAAACGTTCTTTGTCCATAAGTTGTCCAGAATCACAAAGAAAACACAGGTGATGTGAAAATTTCTGAGTTTGGTGTAAAAGAGATCAGTAAAACCTCTCCAATCAAAAGACGGAACAATGCCATAGTTGTTGCATGAGGAGAATTAGAAATATTATACCAGGTCTAATGCGAAGGCTTTTCCCTAGCTTAAATTTCAATTATGAATCGTAGTAAATTCCATGTATAATCGGTATCTTAGCAAAATTAATGAACATACAGTTTCTGAGTTTTGAACAATCGTTCTTTCTCTGCCAGGAAATCTCCACTTTTATTTTTTTATATTCCCCAAGGTGATGTCATCCACTATAATACTTTTGTGTCCTTCACTGAACTACCAATGTATACGTGAATCCACTGATTCTCAGGAAAGTGACTTTTAATAGTTTTCAGTGCAACTGAATGGGTTGTGGCGTCACACATTTCCTTCTTTTTAACTTTGAAGAGAAAGATAAGATTCACCTCGATATTTCTGAAAATCTAGGGAATATAATGATACTATTAAAAGTTCATATTCTGCAGCATTTCAAAAAGCTTTTGCAGTAAGCTAGGTAGCCTGGTTGAAGCCAAGCTTTGTCTTGAAGATTCTGGAACACTTTTGAAGTTACAGTGCTTAGAACGAAGTTAAGATAAATTTTGCGAGAGATATTTTCAGAAATTGTAAGAATTTTATTTCGGTTTTATGATAACGAGCATCTTTTCACATTCGCTTTAATTTTCAGCTCCCTTTTTCTTGCTATCACTGAGTTTTTATGTATTTAAGTATTTTAAAACTTTGGCTTCATGTGTTAAAAAATTCATTGTATTACTTACTCTTTTTCTCAATATATTTTTGTTTGCATAGTTAACTCCCGATCAACAGCGCCTTATTAACCAAACTGCGAATTGAATGTACCCCTGTTATTCTAAAAAAGTTATGTTTGCTTAATGCGGAGTGATAAAAAATTGTATTATAGAGACTATCACTTTAAGTTAGAACTGTTCAAAGAAAATTCAAAATGAAAAAGAAATATATGTGGTATTAGACCATGCCATTTGGGGGTTGTTACGCGCAGTATTTGTACAACTTAATTGCTCATAATCCGAAATACTTAAACATTGGCTTATTTATTAAATGTAAGCCTGCTGAATCGTAAAAATGAATGAAGCGTATAGCCGTTAATCTAATTTACATTGACCCTTATCTAAATACAAGAGTAATATAAAGAAAAACAAAAAGGCATATGTATCATGAGATAAGGAAGGAATATAGGTAAGGATTAATTTGCGTCATAAGATGAATTTATTCGCCTGATTAATCTGCTTGAAAATACAGGTAAATGCTAAGAGTACTTCTCTGTTAAGTATGATGTTGATGTGACCAGATAAACTTATTCTCCGGATTAATCTGCTTGAAAATACAAGTAAATTACTAGTAGTACTTGTTTGTTATGTATGGGCTATTTTCTCTCCCGCCTTTTTTATGTCTCCCCTCGGATTAACCGTGATGTTAAGTTAACTGTACAATTCGGTAACCGAGTACATCAAATGTGGTGCTAAAATATATTTTAAAAATTTAGATGTACATGTTCATAATATCTATCAATTAAATATGTTGTAAATTATATCAAAATGGTATATTATTGAGAAAAAAGATAACAGTTATTAAGAACTACATGTGCTCTTTTCATATCTCTCAGATTTTAAACAGGAACCTACGATTATGATTACCAAATTAATTAAGTAGCATCGACAACAGTAATTTTTCAATCCACGTCATTTATTATGCTGTGATTGCATAAAGTTATAGTTTATTACATAAAATTACGCACAAAAATGGTATTGTTCCAGACCTTAAAGTTACGTTACCATTAATTCGTATTGCTTCAGACCTTCTTTCAGTATTCCTCAACTTAATTATCAAGTTCCGGAGAACATAAGGCGCTTAGCTCTATTTTGTTTATTCCATCGACGGGAACAATCAGATTGATAACCACCTTGCCCAGTAGACTAGCTGCTCTGTCGATAGCGAAGAGAAAAATGAGACGTATTTGACGTCTAACAGGGAAGAAAGTCCCTTCTATAGTACTATAGTTCTATATAATAATTATGTATACTTATATATATACTTCTATAATATTAAATATTGAATGATCTATGAATTTTAGCTTTTAGATCTATGAATTTTAGATATTAGTTCGAAAACAAGTTTTTCTAATACTTGCGCAATAGCTGCAAAGTAAGATAATGATAATTTATTTACTAAAGAAATATTGATGATATTATCTCCTAATAAAAATTTAGTGGAATGTATCAAAAAGAAGGAACCCATATGTAGGAAGTTTAATTCCGAAAATTGTGTTTTATAGTAACTTTAATGTAAATTATGAAAAACACATTTTACTGGGACTTGAATTTAAATCATGAATAACAAAATTTCAAACTTTGAAAAAGAAAGTAAAAAACAATTAATAGTAATTATCGCTATTGATCGGAAATTAGCTGACTTTTCAAGAGGAATAAACCAACTTCCGTTCAGTGAACAATAATTAATAAATTAATAAATGCGAAGGTGTTTTATCTTTTATTCAAATAAGAATGATGATGCCAAACTGGCAAATTAAGTTAGTCCAAAATTGTAGTTCCGTGAAGTGATGGGATTATAGCCAAAGTAGAATATCAAAGAACTCATTCTGAATGAATAATTTTTGCTAACACTTTAGAAATTTGAGTCAATAGCCAATTAATTTAGTGAAATTTACAAAATACCAGAGTAAATGTCCCCCGACACCTTCGCTTTTATGCATGTTAATTCAAGGCTATTTTTATAAAAATAAACATAATAAACAGTAGTAATCTTAATTGGAATTATGAAATAGAATTCAAAGTAATTGAAATAAACATGAGAAAAATAAGAAACATAACAGTGCTATCTTTGCAAAAACAAATCAACTAAAAGTTGAAAAATTGAAATATATATAATATGAAATGTATATAATATTCTTCTATAATATTAAATATCTTCTATAATAATTATATAATTATCCTAATAAAAAAATCTTACAGAAGAACTGCAAAATTGCTGATTTGGGGATAGTATAAAAATTGTGCTTCTGCACATAAAACTTTCTTAATATTTTAGCGTTTCTGACAAATAGGTATAAAGTTCTAGTTAAATTAGTGTCTTAGCAACTAGAACTTTGGGGAAGAGTCTAACAACTATTCGCTGGTCTTCTCATAACTATAAAGACAAAGCCCAAGGAAGGGTTAAAATAGCCTTTTATTCACTCGAAGAAATATTTGACAGATGAAATATTTTCTCCTCGAGCCTACAGGAAAGCCTCCACTTGGGTTTTAACTTAAGACAGAAGATAAGAAACTACACTAATTCTAACTAACTAAATCTTAGCCAAAGCTGTAGAGAAATAACTAACTGAGTTGTCCCGTAATTAAACCTCTCCCGCGAATACTAACAGGCACTTAAGACTACGGCCGAACGTATGAATATAGGCTTAACGCAACGACGTGGCCCAAAGGCAGAACACGCTCTACTGAGAACGTCTGAGCTCTTCTACGGAAGTGACTGAAATCCGCATTAAATACTGGTTCTACATCATTTACATAAAACGTGATACTGAAACCACATTCTGGCAGGAAGTTGTAGGTGGGAAACAAGAATTTAAACGAAAGGGTTTCAAAATTAAAATAACTCCTAGAAAATTAAAATAATCCCTACATCGGCATTTAAAATTCTTGCTTCTGTACTTTTTTATAATGTGAAAGGTTCATTTTTAAAGTTTGCATTCGAAAACGTAATATGCCTTTGTTTTTAAAATTTTTGTTGTATGATCTCTGCAGTAATATAAATTAATTTTGACTGTACGAGTTTTTTTTTTCCTCCTTGACATTTTCAGCTATGGAAAATATGAATGCCATTCATCTTCGTTTTGGAGGGAGTGTGGAGGGAGTGGCTTGCATAAAAACGTTCCAATTTTTGTATTTTTACGAAAAGATCACATAGAGCAAATTATATATAAAAAAAACCTGTACAAGAGATATTTAATTGTGGAATTTCTTGACACATCTTACAAAATTCTTCATAAGTAAAGGCAAAATTAAAACATTAAACGCCATATAAAAACTGTTTTTCTTTTCCACTTTTTACACGGATAGTAAAATTCGATTGAACGTCCCAGAGTTAAAATTTTATTTTTTGTCATTTTTTTCTAGTTAAAGGTATTATATACGACATAGGATTTGAACTCAGGGAAACGTAAAAGAGGCATAAAAGTTAGAGAGCAAAAACTTGTTTTCTATTCACTAAATTTTCTGTCTCTTTCACTTGCGAGTCTCAGCTTTAAAAATTTCATTATTAATTTTCTTCTAAGAAGGCAGGAAAGGAACTTGAACACAGTTGTAACACAGATTTTACAAAAAACAAATCGAAAATGTTTATAAAAGATAAATTTTCTAATTTTCCATTTGCTTTTATTCCGCTTTTTCCGTCGCTCTTTTTCCCTTTTGGCTTTTCTCCGTTGGTTTTTCCCGCCTTTTCCCTTCTATTCAAACTTTTCTTTTGCTTACGTGTACTTCTTCGTAATATTTTTTCTGACTCTCATATAGTGAACAGAAATGCCGTCTAATAAAGAGTAAAAAATAAAAAATAAAGGTCACAAGAATTATCTGTATGGAAGAAATAGGGAGAGAGGAATTTTTTACACAACTGAATGATTGCATTTTGTTGTATACTTTTACGGTTCTTTATAAATGCATTAAATTGAAATAAAATTTTATTCGGTAAGTATAATAACTTTAAAGAGTAACTTTTAAGTTTTAGCTGAAATGCATATTCACACTGAGAATAAATATGAAAATTTTGTTGACGGCCATTTTGCAAAAATAATTTAAATAAGAATAATTTCTCCTTATAAAATTACTTGCCAGTTTTTTATAATCAAAATTTATATGTTTACTTATAATGAAATTAATTTGTTATATTTATGCATAGAAAAAGGGGAAGTTAGCGTTTCGCTTGTACTTTGAAACCTCATGATTTTCTTAATGCTTCTAAAATACAGCTGCTGGCATTTTTTAAAAAATACTGATCTCATAAAAATTTTAGATAAATAACCAAAATTGTTTTAATTATTTTACATGAAACCCCCCTTCTTTTCAAGTTCCATAACAGATATTATATCATGCAGTTTTGTTTTTAAACTAAATGTATGAACGACAGTGAGAATTTAACGTGAAAATGTAGACGTCTATATAACTTAGTTATTATTTCAATTTTTATGATTATCATTAAGAACAATTTCAATTACAATTATTTTATATTTATAAACAATTATTTTATACAATTACAATTTAATTACAGTTATTTTATGCTTAAATATTTTCATATGCTGTCTTTAGTAGGAGAGTGCATCATTAAAAACGTAATTATTTCTTCTAGATGCATTTTAAGCATCAAGATGCAAATATTTTGCCAATTTGCTTCGGAATACCAGTACTGACAAGAACTCCAGCACAATTAGTCTGGAAGGGTGAGTTGATATCGTTTTGTTAATTTCTCTCAATATTTATAATATATCAAGCATAAATAACGTTCATTCAAATGCTTTTTGTAGACAGTGTTCTTAATGTTTTACAGGTTCAGCTACCCTGCAGTTCATTTTGCTCTTTGCCATATTTATAGTGGGGCAATGAATATTCCAAAAGACTGCAATATTTCTGAGTTAGCTCTTCTAGCTGATATGTTACATTTAGACACACTAACTGACATCATTGTCTTCCATTTAAAAATGCACTTCTGTCATTTTTTCCACAGGGTAAGATTTATTCTTATTGTGAAACTACAAAACACAAAATGAGTTATTTTTTAAAGATGGCTTGAATTTTAATAAAATTTTAGCTTATTAAATATATTACTCGAAATTACTATACTATAAGGTTTGCTCTTCTCCACAAGGTCAACCAGTGGGGTGATGTCGACGTCCTTAACTCCTAAAGCTCCGTTTCTGTTAGTGCGGTACGAATGCGTTGCGCATTTGGTTTTTTATACAGAGAATGAACTGATTTTGATTGCCATTTATGATATGGTGACGTCACTATCTCGAGCGTCTGAAAGAGAAAATGTTTGACCTTGAAAGAGCATAACCTTGTCTGTCTACTGACCTTAGTATTACTATTAATTTGGAGTTAACGTGTTTAGATTTATCTTTGTGTTTTAGCACTGCAAAAAACAAAATAGTTATGTCCCATATTCTGTACTGTACACTAATTTCTCCCATTTCGTAGTGCACATATGTTCACAAATGATAGAAGAGACTGGGGATTGCTGGTCCGTATTCATGGTTTTTAGTCTCTGCGACAAACTTCCATTTTTTAGAAATATTTTAAGAGAAGTATTGGGGTGCAATTCCTTCCCAAAATGAGATTTTTTAATCATCAATAATTAAATATATTTCAATGAATTGAAAATTTCAATCTTATAAAAGGGATCAAGCATCTAGATATCAGGGAATACTTCATTCTTTCTTTGAGAACACTTATTCCCAGTCAATAATTTTAAAATGCTATACTTATCAATTTCATAATATGTCTATTAAATTAAATAAATAATACATTAATAAAACATGGATCATTATAACACTTTTATTATATATGACTGGAAGACAGACTGGTACACATTATGTTTTCTTTAAACTTCGCATTTCAACTCTGCATTAAAAAAATGAACACAACTGTATAAAGAAATCTAAAATTAAAATTATAAAAAATATAAACTGGAAACATTCTTTTATCTTTTTAAACAAAATTAAAAAAATGCATCAGTAGCACGTAACTCGTATTAAAAAAGTAATGGATAAAATCTCTTTAAAAAGTAGTTAGCAACCGTTATTTTCATTACCATATCATTCGTATAACTTCTGATAAAATTTCATTGACATATTACACTAAAATCTATCTTTTTTCATTCTTTTTCCCCATGCAAAGAAAATCTTTTCTTCTTGCTGAGAATCTGACTGCGACAAAGCCATTCATATTCATGCAGTCCCTCAAGATTTTACCCGTTATGTTCATTCACATTAAACTTCCATTAAGTATGTCTTATAAACATCATACGGATTAATTCTGAGTTATTGTATATATAAGATTCATTTAATATAAAGTTTGCTGCTGTAAATAAAGTTTTAAATTTACTGCAGTTAAAGCCAATATTACTAAATCTTCATTAGATGGAACGTATTAATGAAGATACTTCGTCCTTCAAGCCATGTGTCCCTAGAAGAGTGGGATCAAATATCCACCGCTGTGTGTTTTAAATTAAAATTATTATGAATAGTAAACAAATAACGCTGATTTTTTGTAGAAAGAATAGTATTATAAATAAAGTCTATATTTAAAATAATAGATAATTAAAATAATGACTTATTATTATTATTATTTTGCTTTCTTAGCGCGTTTTTATCTGAAGGTTAGTTTTCGTACAGTTATTGTAAGTAATAAAACATTTTGAATTCAATACACTTTAAGAATTTTAATTATGCCAAATTTAGGGAATTATTTCTTATGCCAAAACAAAAACAGCTAGTAATGATTATGTCTTGCCATTTCTTTTCCAAGTAGGTGTAACATTTAAAGCACTAGATTTCATATTTAAGTTCTTTCGTATACCTTCTGGTACCGGGTATCCTTAGCAGTCATGTATTCTCAGTCTCCCTTGCAGAAATAAATGTTAAAATTAACGTTTTCTTAATAATATCTTACATTTATTTTAACAGTTATTGATTTTATAATTTTTATTTTTCCTTAAGTGTTTGATTATAATTTGTTTTCAAACAATTTTTTTATAATATATCACATAATCTATTTTTAGATACATTTTGTAACAAAATCTATACTTAGAAGTAAATACTGATCTCTCTACTTGTAATTTTCTTCTTTACTATAATTAATTCCACATTTCCTTCATTATTATTTCTTATAATAATTATAATGTCTCAATTCATTAGTTAATTCAGCAGTGTATGTAAGTCTAAAAGAAAACATTTTTTAGCCTTGCTTACAGTGCACCCAAGGTGTAGTGGAATGCTTACCTTTAGCAGCTGTCTGTGGACTTAATGATTTACGAGATAAATGTATTCATTGGCTTGGCAAGCATTTTACTAGAACATGGCCAAACAAATCATTTGCCTCTTTGTCAGAAGAGCTTCGGGACCTTTGTTATAATGTCACAGTTCAACTCTTGGTAAGATGACTTTATCAAAATTGTAATACTTTGTATAAATTTTTAAAATTTCTTTTCAGTTACATTTTACATAGTTTTGTTTTCGTTAGACTATTTCGTATTGTTATTCGAATTAATGTTTCGAATAACAATACAAAATGATGAAATTTGCACTTTTCAGCGGTCATCAGAAATGGTGCTTATATAACATAGTGACTAACTAGGTGCTTCTGAATATCTGTGTAGTTATATCTTATCGAAATGAAAATTATGATTAATTCATTGCAATGAAATGTATTGTTATTAAATTTGAGCTTTTATACTTTTTAAATAAATATCTTCATAATGAAAAATGAACAACAAGAATTTCTTCAGATTTTTTATTTAAGAAATAAAGTGCATTAATATGTCATGCAAAATTTATTCATTACTTTCACTTACCACTGGTTTGATATTTTTCTTTTAATGTGGATGTAGAATGTTTGTGCGATGAATATGATTTTGTTCAATAGCCATAAAGATAATGTATTTTCAGTAATTATTAGATCATAATCACTTACATTTTACAGCAAAAGCTTTAAATGAACGATTGATATTATTGTTTTTAACAGATAATGAAATATGTACAAATTTTGTGGCGTAAATGTAAATACTATTATTAATTATCATTGCAGTTGAAATACTGTTTTCTTGTTTGGTATCTTACCTAATAAATATGTTATAATGATGCAACAAAAACTCAGGGAAAATAAATATTAAAAAAATTAATAATGAGCAATAATAATCTGCATAACGTGAGTAAATTATTATTCTCTTGAATAATTTTATTATTTAAAAACCTGAATTTGATTAAACAAAAATGTTGCATTTTTATGTTATAGGCAGTGGATAGCGTAATCGATATGACATTAAACTGTGATCGTCTCATGACTACTTTGCCCCAGCTAAAGTGGACTGAACCTATTTTTGGCATGGTAACTAAACTACTTCAAGATTGCATTCATTTCATGGCTCAGAACTTCAATCAGATCTTGAATTCAGAAGGATTTCTAGCTTTGGGAAAAGTGAGTTCTAATATGTATATTTTTAGAATTTTTAAAAATAAGTTTTGATATTTTTCACTTGCCACGTATCTTTGATTGATATATTTTTGGCTGATGAATGTTTCTATTAATATAAAATGTAGTTATTTGTTGTATTCTAAAATAAATGAATGGATGTGTACATTGTCACTGAATTCGTCGCTTAATTTCTAAAATTAGAAGCGCCAGAGCCATGTGGAAGGTCAGCAGAAAAGCGAACAAAATAAATAAATAAGACAAATAACAATTAATATAACAAAATTCAGATTCAAATAATAAAATAATTATAATTAAATAAAATATAAAGAGGTAACTAAAAAATAATAATATTCTGCAGCTTCGTTTGTTTGTGGCCTTGGCTCAAATTGAAATTTCATACGAAAAACAAGAAGCAGGTACCCAGCTTCAGGCTGAATTTAAACCCTGAATATGCAATGTAATGCGCTGTTTGATCGAATGATGGAAGCAAAAATCATTGTTTTACTACCGTGACAATGGAAAAGATTAAAATGGTTAAACCATTACTAATGGAAATAGAGAAATTACTAGAAAGAGTATGAGAGCATGAAAGAATGTTTTAATGCAGAGCAGGGAAGGAAATTAGAAAAAATTAAGTGACATATACAAAACAAAAAGAAAACCGCCACACTCATCCTGACCACGATCTTCTGCTAATTTAATTCTAGCTGTCGATTAGAATATGACAGCAAAAAAATTGCCTCCGAATCCGAGAGTTGATTAATCAGCTGAGAATAATTTGAAGGTTTTGTACAAGAGACCATTTGCATCTCCCATATTTAGTTATATCGTTCCGAAAGATTTGCAGTTGCTCTTTTCAATGGGTGGTCAGAAGTGGTAATTGTGTCTGAGCCATTTATCTAACTATAAGGTGCAACCGTAAAGTAACCGAACAATTTCTTATAAGAAAAAGAGTACTAACCTTCAAATAAATTTACCACTTCAAAATAATTCCAAGACCTATAAAAATTTTCCAGCGTTTCTTCAGGTCATCGAAGCATTGTTTATAAGCATTGAAGCTAATCGTTTGCAAAATACAGGTAACATTTAATTTAATATCCGAGAAATCTCTGTGCTGTCATGACCACTTTAAGCTTCAGACAAAGGAAAAATCAGCTGGCGATAAGTTGGGAGAGTATGTGATTTATCCCTGCAGTTGAATGCTTAGTAGAACATGGTTGTTCAGACAATGCTGTACGTAGCCTACGATTATCATGAAAAAGAAACCTTTACACAGAATAAAAAAAGTTCATTCCTATTTCGCCTTATCCTTTTCTTAATCAAAAACGCACCTCCTTGTAAAAATACCGATAAATTGCTTGATTCTGAGGGACAGATGCATGATGAATAAATCCTTTGTAATAAAAAATTGTAATCAGCATCACCTTAGTATTTGATTTCGACATACATGCTTTTTTTTTTTCTGTATGGAAAAAGACGATCCTTTCGACTGTGCACTTTGTGTTTTTGCTTCTGGGTCGTATTATAGACACCAGCTCTCATCTCTGGCTATGATACACTGTAAGAATTTTTTTGTCCTGTTTTGTCTGTCTTCTTTTTACTGTTCTCCGAGGCACAAATTAAGCGCAAACTTTCCTCATTTTCAGATTTTCAATTAAAGTTAAGTTACAGCTTTTTTTTGCGTATCCCAAGCATATCTGGAAGTTGCTCAGTTGTTACACGTCTATCAGCTTTTACCAAAGAACGGATTTTCTTACATTTCCCTTATTCTTTGACGCTGAAGAGCGTCTTATCTTTGGTTCACCGTCAAAGCTCTCACGCTCACATTTAACGCAGTTGACCACTCATTCACTTGTGTTCTTGCTATTGATGCAGCACAATATACTATTCAAATCATCTCTAACGTTTCGGTAGCAGATTTACCTAATTTGTACCAAAATTTAAGATTATAGTTTTGTTCCAGCTTGAAGCAAATATGTTTATACAATGTCTTCTCAGTGTAACTCAGTTGTTATAATTATTTACGATATTATTTTCTATCACTACTGCTCCTTGATATTCCACGTACTTTTTTTCCCTTTTTTATATTTTTCATAGACAGTCTTGTATGACGTTGATGATTTGTGATAGTAATTTTTCAATCCACGATAAATAAATTTAACTTTTTTTAGACAAGGCTTGGTTAATCCGAAACCCGCTTAATTCAGGTCTAGTTAATCAGAAGCTGTGTAGCACTGTTTAATACAATCGAAATAGGGAGGATAGTTTTCATCTTCAAGTCATATATTTAATGCAATTAAAGCATGCACTTGCAAGTTTGGCTTGAGTTTGGTTTCTAAATCTTAAATACTCTAGCTGCGTTGCTTCTTTAGTTTTTATTTTTTTAATATAATAAAAGAAAAAAAAATATTTAGAATATCCTCCATAAAACTACTCTTCTGTCAAGCATGTAGCCCTCCTTTTCCTAAATTTAATTAACAAAGAATTTGTTTTCAATTATTTCCGGGCAAGACCACACACATATTTATAACAAAGAAATTGTTTTCAATTATTTCCGAGCAAGACCACATACACACACACATATTTATATATTTATATGTAATAATAAAATTTCATAGTCAAGAATACACTTAAAATTCTAACTGTATGTTCTTTTCATTTTTTAATGGCGACGGTCTCTTATTTGAAAGTACGTGGAATTAAATCCACAGCCCCGTGGTCAAGTTGTTTTTCCCGCCTTTTTCTACACGTACAGTTATATTCTGGAAATATTTAAAGCGAACTGGATTGGCTGACGAGGCTGACGTCATTTCTTGGAAGCTCCGCCTTTCCAGAGGCTATAAAAGGACTCCCAAAAGAATATCGGGGGCTTTTCTTTAATGCAACGATGCAGTAAACTTCATACAAAAAGTTATTAGTCATTCTTTTTATTTACTCCCGATATCTGATTTTGTAACTGCTATTTCTCCTGAATAATAATAAATGGATCCTGTTTTTTAAACTAATCGTCTGATAATTTAAGCTACGACTACATTTATGATTCTTCAACAATCTATTTATTCCTGACAAAAGCTGGTATATCACATATATATATCTCAGTAAAATCTCAATGTTCGCATTATTTTTCCCATAGGAACTAATGTTAAATGGGTAAATAACTTCCTAGATCATAGAAGATTACTTATTTAAAATTTAGGACTTTTAAACAAGTTTCATAACACACAGTTAAGGGAAATCTAATACAAGAGATTAAAAAATAAACGAAATTTTCAATTAAATTTAGTTTATTTAATTTTACCATACTCGTCCGAAGGTGAGTGGACGGCCTAAGTAGAAAATGATGAGGAAGAAATGTTATTATTTGGATGAGAAGTCCCCTAGGATAGGAACGCTAGATAAATATCTTTCGGTCTTTCGGGGCCACCTGTTAGCGTCACTGAACTCTGTTTGAGGTCGAATTGGTCTGTGTTTCAATCAAAATTTGTCCAATGTGTATACTTGTTATCTATGTCTTGAAATGTTTTTAAGCTGAGACATGGCTTTGTCACTTATGCTATTTAAATTATTATTAAAATATTTATGCTATACTTTACGATTTGCTTTATCTGAGTGATATTGTTACTAGAAAATTCGCACCTTATTCCATTCTGCACAAGTTCTTTAGATCAAAGAACAAGGTTCATGTAGCCTTCCTCTGAAGACACTTCCTCCACAACTGAATTTTGTTGCAGCTTCTGACTTTGTTTCTATTCTTTCTGGTTGAGCTGGTCCTCTAGTAACTCTTCCAAGTTTTCATTATTAATTTCCAAGCCCATGTTGTTGTCAAGCGACTTAATATCATTGATAAAACAAAAACATCAGTGTAAAAGCCTCAAATCTATACCTGCAATACCAATCTGACCATAATTTCCTCCAGTCCTTAGTGCCTCGACTTATTAATGAGAGATAATTAATATTAAAATGATGTTTATAAATATTAGTATATATGAAATATTAAAATGATGTTTATAGTCATGTTTTGTCATATAGAAAATTAAAATGATGTTTATAGAAACTTTTTAGTATTAATTATATGCCCAAATTTATAGAAAATAATCATTTGTTGATAATTCTATGGGAAAAATAATCCTTTGAACCTGAGTGTTCGTTACTCGAAATACAATTCGTCATCCGAGACGTTCGTTGTCCAGACAATTTTTTCTTGAACCGATTTGTGAGGCGTTCATGATCCGAGGTTTCACTAAAGCTTTGTATATGAAAAAAAAAATTATATGTAAGAATTTATAAACTTTTTATTGGTGTTACTGATGCATTCATTATTTATATTTTGACTGCTGCCTTTTTAAACAAATATGTGGATGAAATGGGAGAACTACAAGCACTTTTAATGAATTAGTTGCATGTTTTAACAAATTTTTCAATGAATTATAGATGCTATTGCAGTTTTGTAATCAATGTTTTTATGTAGGGCCAAAGCTGGAACGTAACTGCACTAGAAGAAGATATAATTTCTTCAATTGAATTGGTGACACCTGACATTGCTTGTAAATCATATGTTACAGTAAACCAGTTGCTGTTATTAATCGAATCTGAAGAAAATTCAGAGTATGCAGAATTTACTCAGGTACCACAACCTTAATTATCATTCTGAATAATTTTATATCATGTCATGTATAGAGTCCTTTCAACAGTATTGAGATGTGAGCATTACTGAGTGGGGTGGGGGACAATGTTGTTAGCTTAAAATTGTACTTTAGCAGAAGCGTTTTCAGCTAGTCAACACTGTCGCATTCTTCAGCTGCAACATATCATTATTGTTTATGATATTTTCAAAAACCTCAAACATATTTGAACAAATCTTTTGTAATGTTACTGAATCATTCCATAAAAATTCATTAACATACTTAAATGTTATTGTTCTTTTAAATACACTAGGAAAGAAATATTTAGAGGAAGGTAATCAAAATTAATTAAAAATTATTTATTTACATCGATTCATGTCATAATCGTTCTTTCATGAATGATATAATGCTTACCATTAACCTAAAAATAGGCTTAAGATAAAATTCAATAATATAATAACGTAATAACGTAATTAATTAAAATTAAATTAATTTTAGAACAATTAGATGACACCATGCATTGAATATCATTGGCATAATACTTATTTGGTATTTCTATGTTGCTGGTATTTTGTAGATAATTTCATTTATTGCATATAATTTCAATTATTACATTTATAAACTAAGTTGAAAAGGGTATAAAAACGAGAACCCAAAAAGGTACAATGGGAATGTACTGAATATGTGCATTCCCGAATGTACTGAATATGTATACTATTTCATTTAGGATTTAATATTTTTATAAATGCAAAATAGCACAGTTAATTAATACATTCTGTGCTATTTATTAAGATATAATCATTCTCATCAATTTAAAATCAATTTTTATTTCTCTCATATTTTCTTCATGAAGTAATTCGAATTTTTTTATATTTAAAAGTCATTTCGTTGAATAAAATCGAGGTATGAAAAGGAAACGTTTTTAGAAACGGGACATTCCAAGCCTATTCTACGAACCTTCAGAATAATTCAAGATGCTAAACCTCCAGTCTTCGCTCATATTTTATCATTTGAATCTTAACCTAAAGGACAATTATGTGTTTTAAATTTAAACTTTAGAAAAAAGTAATTTTATTCACTTAAATAGAAGCGTTTATTGAGAATAAGAATTCAGATATCGTAATTTTAGTAGACACCTTCATCACGTGTATTCCCTAGTGGTGGCTGATAGTGCTATACTTTTAATTTTCTGGACAGAATGTTTATTGTTTACTTTTGTTAATTCTTGAAATAATTCTCTTCTTTCTACACTTACGTTGATAAAAAATCGATTGTAAATATATGTAAAAGGTTTCAACTGGTACTCAGATATCTTTGTAAAATTATATTCAAAAAATGAACCTCAAGATTTGCGAGATTTAATTATGTATTTCATGTACTAATTTACATATCTTTTTAATAAATATAGGCCTATTTTTCAAAACTGTACTTGTAGATTTACTTTTCTTTAAAAGCAGATATCAATTTTTGCTTTAATTGAAAACTACAAATATCAAGTAAAAGTTTGTTTCGTTTCCTCTTCTTATGATTATTCTTATATGAAGGAATTCAGATTAAAAAATATACAGAGATTTGAGAGCTTTCAAGCATTCAAATTCGAGAAAATTTAGGATTTATTCCATATCTAAAATATATTATTAAAATTCTGATAGGTCAGCATATTCATAAAAATTTACATTAAATTACGAGAATCAAGGATAGGGTCGATTAATTCTAAAATTTCAAAACCAGTCAATCTGTTATCGACTTGATAAATTTTTATCTCGTCCACCTTGTTCCATTGCCACGTTATGTGTAGTTGAAACTGTGAAACCAATTTATTTCATTTATTAAATTGTATTTTTAAGCAAGTTTATTATATTTTAGGTGTATGCAGAGATTATCGATGCTAAATTCTGAATATTATATCTTTCCGTTAAGGTCTTTTTTCAGTTTTTTTTCATATGTATATTTTATAAATGAATTTAACATATGCGATCAAAGCATGTTTATTTTATTTTTTCTCTTATATTTTAATTCGTATTGATTCGAATTAAATTCATATTAAATGAGAAAAAGATTATTTTCTTCTGTTAGCGAAATATTTTTAAAACAGCTGTAATATGCATTTATTGCGTTTGTTTGGTCGAGAAGAAACTAATAGTTTTTGGCTGCAAACCGCAAATTTTAAGAAATTTTTAATATATTTATTTATGTTTCTCTTTCTCATGAAATATGATATCTTTTAATCAACACCAAGTAAATATATTTCGGTGAACTGAAAATTTCACTCATTTTAAAAAGACAATCATATATCAAGAGATGCTTCATTTTCATTACGTGATGCGTTTTTCCAGTCCTAAGTAGAAAATAGGTCTGCAAACATTTTCTTTGATTAAAATTTAGTCTTGCAAGCCTTCATAAAAATATGCGCATAATTTTATTAATAAACAAAAAACTGATATAATCACGAAATATAATCTGAATGTTTTCATATTAGTCACGGTAATAAAATAACTAATGACTTTATGAAAAGATGGCTATAAAAATTACGTAACAGTTAACATGTCATTTATATTATTTTTGATACGAATCTTCCTTCATTTCATTATTATATCATGCCAGAAAATCTAACTAACTTTTCTTTCCAGTTAACGTACGATGAGTAACTTTCCTTTTCTCTGAGAATTTAAATAGTATCATCATTCGCATTGAATTCCATTTAAATTTCATCTATCTCGAAAATTCATATTAAAATTCCGATAGTTGTTTTATATCCATATTCGGGATTTATATCTGCATTATTTTACATGTTTCATTCAAAGTTAAATTTGTTGCCATATGTACATAAAGTAATTACATATTTATTACGTGGAACCTTTCATTAAGATATTTGACCCCTTATATTATCTATTTCTGCCGTCTAACCGGTGTAGAGTACCTGACTACCGTAAACGATGGACCCGGGCTGGAATCCTGGAGTAGGCGTGGTTGTAATTGTTCGTCCTTTCAATAGGAACTCACCTGTTAGGTGCTTCCATAACGAAATGGCCACCACTTCTCGCTCGTCTAGTGGCGCAAGGCTATTGGTTATTAAATAAAGGGTGTGGCCTTTTAAAAATATTATGTATGTCTAAAAGAGTGGAATAAATTTCTCTACTGTGCTTTTTAAGCAAAAATTTGTTTTAAGTAGCAAATAAATAAAGCTAATTTCTCGTAGAAAAATATTAGAGAAGTTCTACATTTTAAAATAATGCAAAATTTAATTAAACTGAAAACATATATGCTATCGATACTTTAAAGAAAGTTGCTTGCTTTCAAGAAGGTTGCACTTGTGATATTTAAAAATGATTATGTGTTGCCAGTTCTCGCAAAAAGATATGGCATTAAATGTATTGCCAGATTTCAAAGCTCTTATGGCGGATTTTTGTTTACGTTTTGCTTCAGAATCAAATATCCCCAGTCTTCCCTACTATATTAAGCATATGTACTTTTGCTTTTTGCTATTGAGATGTTTCCTGCTACTTATGTGTGGTTCTGTTCTGATTACATAGAATTTTGTGGATTTGTTGCACAAAATCAGCAGACACTGTGAGAGGTACCTCATTCAAAATGCTAATAAAGTTGTTCATTGCCAAAGCTGGGCATGTCTTTCTCCTCAAGTTCAGAAAAGGATTAAGGATGGTGAGTTATATTTTAGTACTATACATTTTTGCTTTTATTTTCCTAATAAATAGCAAAATATCCAGTTATCATGCAAAACTAAGGGTTCATATTTATAGCCTTTTGTATTGCTCTAAGATGGATAATTAATGAAGAAAATTAATTGAAGGCTGCATTGCTGATAGTGGTGTGTTTATAGGAAGTTAGCAGTGACAGATATAACTGTGCTAATTCTGGGAATATACAGCATTTTTTTCATATATAATTACAATTTGTTTAGTAAAAGTAATGAAATTTAACTTTTTTTCAACTTTATGTTTCTTATGCTGTAACATTACAGGTATTTATCATTTATTTTTTTCAGTAATTTGATCTATTTAAAATGAAATGTGTTAAATTGCTCACATTAATTTTCTTCTTCAAATTTACAGTAATATGTATAATTCTTGTTATTTTATTAAAATAATAAAAAATGCCTTTTTTAAAATTTGTTTTTAAAATACAAATATTAATTTACTTTCTAATATTAATGTTAGTAGTAATGTCGAAATTATATAAAAAATGAAGAAATGTAAGAAATAGTATAAGAAATGAAAATATAAGAAATTTTTTGTGTAGAAATTTCAAACTTATGAAACTTAAAAGCATTCGTGTCTGAGGGCTTTAACATTGTTCAGTACTATCATCTAAAAAATTCTTTCGATGAATTTAAAATTCGGTAACTTAAATTATTTTAGTCTTAAAAAAATTATAGAGATTATTTCCATACTTAAATATTTCACATATTTTTGTTTATGTTTTGTAAAAAAATTATTTCTATGTTTTTTTTTTTTTGTTAGCTGCAGTTATTGTCTTTGAATTCGAAAAACCAACAGCTCCACCTCCACGTCTGTCCAGTTTACAGAGGGTAAGATTTCTTAATAAAACAAAAAAATTTCTCAACTTTCTTTCTAAACATGAAACTTATTAACAACAAAATGTTATTATGCCTAGTTAGTTATTAACTAAGAAAAGATTGGTATTCTATAAATTCTTTTCTATATGGGTGTCTCTGTACTTTAGATAGTTGATTCCATAAAGATATTGTTTTCCTCTTCGTACAAAACGCAGCTTTAGTGAGAACGTAAATAATGTTGCGTGCTCGTAATAGATTGAATGCACAAAGGTCCGACTTCAAAATTTTGGAATTTTCCAGAGAAATATACTTTTACAGGTGTTCTCAGTATCACAGAATACAACCAGTAGTTACATTTCAGGCTACTAAGAGCGTTAAACACAACGCAATGCAAAACGCATCTAACTAGAAAGCTAACCCAGACATATCTCCGATCTCATGCTGAACTAACAACTCACAATAATAACAAGAACAACTGACAGCAGATGCTCTGTCTTGCCTTATATAGTTTTCACTCGGCCGCCGAGATATTTCTAGTACTCTTTATTTCTCATATTAAATGCTTTGCTTCTCGAAAATATTGGAAGGCAATATTAGTATCGAATTACGGTTGCATCTAATATAGTGATCTATTAGATTTATTTAGTTACAATATATATTACGGTAATACAGGGATCGGACCAAAATGTCGCCAAATGGTGGCGACTTTTGGCGATTTCTCACCAAATCTGGAAGCAAAATAAGTTGCCAAAACCGATGCCGGCGTGGCGATATCTCGCCAATTACCGAGATATCCATTTACATAATGTTAAATGGACGTGCCCCCTATTCTTAATTTCTGTATTCTTAATTTTCTGGCATAGTCGTCTCTTTAAATTTTTCAGTTGCATAATACAAAAGAAATACAACAGTTTTACTTCTAATTTCACTAAAATTACCTATCTAAGTATAAAATTTTGGAATTTTCCAGAGAAATATACTTTTACAGGTGTTCTCAGTATCACAGAATACAACCAGTAGTTACATTTCAGGCTACTAAGAGCTTTAAATACAAAGCAATGCAAAACGCATCTAAATAGAAAGCTAACCCAGACATATCTCCGATCTCATGCTGAACTAACAACTCACAATAATAACAAGAACAACTGACAGCAGATGCTCTGTCTTGCCTTAATAGTTTTCACTCGGCCGCTGAGATATTTCTAGTACTCTTTATTTCTCATATTAAATTCTTTGCTTCACGAAAATATTGGAAGGCAATATTAGTATCGAATTACGGTTGCATCTAATATAGTGATCTATTAGATTTATTTAGTTACAATATATATTACGGTAATACAGGGATCGGACCAAAATGTCGCCAAATGGTGGCGACTTTTGGCGATTTCTCACCAAATCTGGAAGCAAAATAAGTTGCCAAAACCGATGCCGGCGTGGCGATATCTCGCCAATTACCGAGATATCCATTTACACAATGTTAAATGGACGTGCCCCTGTATTCTTAATTTTCTGGCATAGCTCGTCTCTTTAAATTTTTCATGTTGCATAATACAAAAGAAATACAACAGTTTTACTTCTAATTTCACTAAAATTACCTATCTAAGTATAAAATTTGTAGCCATTATATGTAACTATGAGAAGGCACGCAATAAATATACGCCTGGTTTTTAATTCAGTTTGGATTGAGAGTGCATGATGATCTTGGAAAAAGGTTGAAATACTTAATTTGGGGGAATATTACAATAATTTCATCAGAAGGGAATAAGAAGTTTATTTTGAATTTTTTATGGAACTTTAAAAAATATTTTGTACGTATATTATAAAGAGGTGCGGGTAACATAAAGGAGAAGAATTATAATTTGCTGATAAATAAGTATTTATACATTGAACTGTTCACGAAAGTACGTAAAGAACTGATTTTTAAATTTAATTATTATTATATATCTTTTGACTTTTAAGACCTTTTTCAAAACTGGGAGTACATTATATGTAAAAGCTTCACTATTTTATTTATATTCAATTATATAAAAAATTGAAAAATGATATTTTTAAGCAAAGAGCGATGTAACTGCAGAAAAGTTTAAAAGACGTGCACGCAGTGTACGTCTAATGCTATTTTTGGCAATAATTTTCTTCATTCATCAGAGATTATCTCTAAAAATCAAATTATTTTTTAAGATTATATTAAAGCATTACTTTGAAAAATTGCAGAAGACTGTAACCAATTCTTTAATATAAACTCTGTTGTTAATATGAACTACAATAGACTCACTCTAGCAACGAGGGTGCTCTCTGGTGAGTAGCCAGAGAAAGACTTCAGTAAATGCCAAGTGATGAACCTGCTAGGTTGTATCAGACTCTTGCTCTGTAATATTCTTAAAATTATATGTGATGTCTGTGTGTAAGTTAAACCTGTTAATAAATTATTATTACACTATAAAGAACTCTTTTATAACCCCATCCAACTCGACCCACCACAAGACTAGATTATTTTTTTTTCTCCGTAGAACATGGAGTTATGGAAATTTATAAATTATCATTTTTCTTTATACGTAAATTATCATGTTCAGATAAAATTTTCTTTCCTGAATAGAAGGAACTACATAATTTTTAAATTATCTTTTATATTTTATCTTATATATTTTAAATCTGTTTTGCGTAACCGAATTTTTTTGTTACGATATCAGGCGGATGTATGAATTTGAAATTTATGTTCTTGGCATATTTTCATATTAAATGCTTTGCAACAACCAAATGGTTTAGCAATTTGCATGGCCTTTTTCTCTAACTTAATTATATACTGTTTCTCTTAGTCTATTTAATATACTAGACACGTTTAAAATTATTTTTCTTAATTTGTGAGTATTCTAGAATTGATAATTTGTGAAGTATTTAGCTTAGTATCATTTTTAATTGTATCATTGATGAATGATACTAAATGATACTAAAATTAGTATAATTTTTAAAGCTTACTGCCATACAACCGTTGACACTGACAATGGGACTACGTAAGCAATGTATTTAGTAACGAATGATGAAATGAGCCATAAGCAATTATTAACTAGGATGATTGTTTAAAATTGTAAATGGTATTTTGCTTTGATGCAGTTTAGAAACTCTCTTCATTATGGCCGTTAGCATTAGTTCATTCCTTACGTTTTCGTGTGTGTGTCTGATAGATATATTTTTAATATTTTTTTTCAAAATTCTAACCTTATTTAATAAAATTATAAAGAAAATTTATTCTGTATCCTTTATCCTTTTTAAACACTTTTGTATTTTAAAAACTTCTTTGATAATTCTTTATCTCGATATTGTTTTAGGAAAGCTCCTCATAAATAAGTATAATGATAAAGATAAGTTTTCAACTAGCTTCATAAGAAATTAGCATTTAATTTAATTATAATTCTTTAAAATTAGAATTTTTAATTACTTAATATTTAATTATTAACTGAATCAATATTTAAATATTTAAATAGAGTCAGTTTAAGTCTTTCAAAAGTTTTATGAAAGAACCAACTTCATTGTCTGGATAAATAATACGCCTGTATGTTAAAAATTTCATCTATGTATTTTCTTTGATAGCGTATTCAACGTCTAATATCTAGCACAGTAATTGTTTTCTCTCAGTTTAATGTTATATATGTCTGTAGAATAATCCTACTAATTATGAGGGGGATGAGAGACATTTCGTCGTTCCACCAAGGCATCTTTCAATAGCGATCCGTGGCAAGTGTTTCATTCGTAGAGATGTAAGAACGTTAACTTCCACACGATCTTGTAGCTAAATAGATCTCAGTACTGCCATTTGATGTAGCATAAGATATTTAACTTATATAACTAAAATATATAGCTAAAATTATAACATTATTATTTGCTTAATAAACTAAATGATTTAAAACTAATAAGTATGTAATTTATGTTTTACTTTTATTTTTATAATATATCTAAGTGATCAGAATTTGTAATATATTTAATTGATATAATGTACAATATACCCACTGATAAATTGTATCCATTTTGAAAACTAATCTGATTAATAAAAGATATTTCAAACTCCATATGTGATATATGTAAGAAAATAATAATATAAAAAAACATATTAATGATTATTTTTTATATATTAATATAAATTTTTATGCATTAATATAAAAATTATTTATAATTTTTATATATTAATTAAATAATATATAAAAAAGCATAAAAACAAATTGGTAGCTAATTAATTAGTATTAGACTGTTTCTTTATTATTACCCATTGCTTTAATAATTGTTTTATTATTTCAAATGCAATTTCATGGATAAAATTCTTTGTACACGAATAGCATTGCTCTTACAAGAAAAGAAACCTCAGACATATTTAAATTTGGAACTGTTATTGGAAGTACATCAAATTTGAGAGAGTTTGAGTTAAAACTGATATGTATTGATAACTTTATGTATGGAAAGTGAAACTTTGCAAATGATTTATATGAACAACATTTAGCAAGTGTACGGTTATAGCCTAAACTCAGATTGTATTTTGAAGAAATATTTCGAAGGTGTTTTATTCTAACTGAAAATTTAATGCTTAGAGACTAATTAAATGTATAACTTATTAAAAATACTGCATTCATTTACCATAAAAAAGTTACATAACTTTATTATTTAATCCTTTTTTAGAAACTGAAGAAACAGAATGATTCTGAAGATATGAGCTGTTTGGAAAGGTCCACATATCCGAAGAAAGGAAGAAGTGTTCAAGTCAGAAAATCCCAGAGGGATTTGACTTTTACTACCAAAAACAATAATTCCCATCCTAACCAAGATTCAATAGAGAGGAATCCGCAGTGGAGAGAAGCTGACAGTTTAATAAAAAAGGCTGTTTCGCCGATCAAAGAAGAAGCAAATAATGTTTCGGCTGATCAGTCCGCACAAGATATTTCACACGATTTACTTCCTCCTGCATTAAATCCTTATAATTCCTCATTCAAATCTCATTTCTCCAACAAATTATATATTGATGCACATGAAGAAGATAGTTTGCGAGATCTTCAAGATTTACCTCAAGATCAAACTCATTCCCCAAGCCATGGAGACCATGGATCTGAATCTCAGCTAATTTGCAGTGTGGCTTCACTTGATATGGACGACAGTCGAAGTCCTGCTCATTGCAGTGACAATCCTGACAGCCTGGAGGCCAATGAAGAAATCTCATCAGATAGTAAGGATGATCTAGATGCATCAGTTTCTGTTGAAGGTGAGTGCATTATCGGTATGGTGTGTTAACATTATTTCAGTTATTTTAGCCTAATTAATATTAATAGTTAAACAAATTAGTAATCTAGATAGCATAGAAACATGCCAAAGTAAAGCATAAAATTAGCATACTAACAACCTTGTGTTTCACGTATATTTTAGTCAAGACTGTATCGATTTCGACGGCAAACAGGTACAGGTGCCTTTTCATTAATAACAAAGAAATCTGTAACAAAGAACAGCAAAAAATGGCTATACATATTTCGTGCTTTCAAAGTTTGTTCTTCAGGACTTCGCCGGTTGATCGAAGATTTTCTTTCTTATGCATTGATAAAGTCTTAAAAAGTTTTCATCTTGCCCTCAAAGAAGACATTCCGCTGCTAAAAATAACATTAATAACCTTGTCATGTTTCTGTTTCATCCTTCTGTCAGTTACAAGATTGTACTTATTATCCAAAAGTTCAATTTTCAAGTCATTTTCTTCCCTGTCATTAAAACTTATGTTTCGGTTCTTAAAGATTCCATTTCTAATTTTAATTCTTGAGGCATTTATAGCATATCTTGTGAGTGAGATATACCGGCCAAACTAAAATAATGTTAAAGGTTAGGAAATAAAAAACACTAATCTTATGTCCTCAAAGGCGAAATTAAAAAGGTCTTCGATAACTAATCCTAGTTGCAAATTTAATTATTTTTACTTCGAACTGTAAAAATTATCCAAAAATCTTCTATTGGTGAACTGGATTTTCTTGTACCGCGATTATGCATCATGTGCAAGATACCCTGGATGTTCCCGTGTCGACCAGAACCATTTCCCGTCGATTGATTGAACGTGGCCTGCACTCACGATGTCCGTTAAGAAGACCGCCATTGAACCCACATTTCATTTTTTTCTTCGTCGATATGTTATTTTATTAATATATATTATTATTTGCCGATATAATGGCCGGGCCGCAAAAGTATTTGTTGTGGGCCGCATGCGGCCCGCGGGCCGCGAGTTTGACATCCTTGCTGTAAAGCAACCAACAGAACTCAATGTAAAATTTACTAAAGGTATGATTATAAGAATATGAACCTTTTATCATGCAATAAAATTTGCTAACTCGCTTTAAATACTTTTTTTTTTTCTTATCAAAAAGTATCAAATCAAGTCCATCTTTTCTGATGATCTTGTACTGTGGAATCTCTTATTTATCGATTTTCTTAAAATTGCTACACATATCTTGTACCTGTATCGGTTTAAATAAAATACAATTTAATTTTGTAATTTTTGATAGATTGAGATTTATAAAAGTGCTAACACACACCCTCCTATTTCAGAAGTCAAACAACAAAAATCAGCGTTATATTTACAAAATTTTCACAGGACTAGTTTCGATGGACTAGTTTCGCAAAATGCATTTTGCGGTTTTGTAGCTGAAGATGGTGGTTCGGTAAAACCATCGAAACTAGTCCTGTGAAAATTTTGTAAATATAACGCTGATTTTTGTTGTTTGACTTCTGAATTAGTATTTATTCGGCGTGTTATTGTGTCTTAATTACACCCTCCTATGTTTGGTCAACCGACTGTTTCGAACAACAACTGCTTGGAATAATAAATATCTTCGGCAAAAAAGATACTCATTTTACGTCTCCCAAAGAATCGACTATCTGCATCAAAACTTCATTCCTCTTTTTCATCTTCTCTTCATGAAGTATCTTTTTAAATTCGCATTGATAATGAGCAAACTACAGTTGACAGCTAGGAAGCTGTCAACTGTGGTTTGCTCATTTTACGTCACGTAACAAAGCACAAAAATTGTACGTAAGAGCAGAGTCGTACCAAGATATTTTTTCACCTGACGCAGGGTAAATACACATGTATATATATATATATATGAAGGGTAAATGCGCGCCCTTATATGTATCGAAATAGCTATATTTGTATTAAACAATAGTAGGACTTGGCGCTATACCAATTGACCATCATGGTAGAGGGATGATGCCCACGCCCTCCGTCACGTATTAAACAATAGTAAATGTATTAGATCAAAATACCATAATTCTTATAGCATAAGTATACCATAATTCTTAAATTAATTTTAATCGTAGCTTTATAAATTCAGAAAAAAAATATAACCAATTATTTATAACTGTCAAATGAATATGTTAAAAAATTCTTTTTTGATAAATAGGAAATAACATCGAAATGCACATTGCATTAATTTCCAGGCTTTCTTGCAGTTCTTTTGTTTTATTAATTTAAGTTTGCCGAAGCTTATTTCCCTTAATAATGACTGAAAAATATAAAAACATAATTAAAGTAATTTTCGAATTCGTATAGCCAAGTTGTCGCCCTTTCTAGGGTTCACCTCACTTGCCTCACCCTTGTCCCGGCTCTGCATAAGAGTTATTCTTCCTAAATTTTCTCATGTGTGATAGCAGCTTAATTGTTATAGCTGGGAGTACAATACAGGGAATATTGAATGTAATATGATTAGATAAATAACTATTAAGTTAATTCCTTATATTAAAGACATATATGTAAAACGTACCGATGATAATCTAAGTTCGAAAATTTTTTTGAATAGCATCAAGGTTAAGAGTAATGCTTATTTGTAACCTAAATCATACTTTAATCAAATGAATTCTCTATATGTAATACTTTAAGTTTTTTTAATTCATTTTTATTCTTTCAGATATATCGAATCAGGAAAAGGGTTTGAACGAAGCTCCTGAAGTTATTGGGAAGAATTTTGAGATAGCAGATATGAAAAAAGATGAAAAGGAGACTAAAATCGTGAAATCAAATATTTCATCTGCATCTTCGTTACCTAAGCCTACACTATCTGTACCCGTAAGAGATAAAGTGCCTGTTTTACATCCATTAATTCAACATACCAGTGAGATAAATGCTCAGAGTAAAATAAGCTGTGATAAGTCCCCAACTAGAAAAGCTCATGGAAAATCTCTTGTCCCATTAGCGAAGTTGCATACTTCAGAAGACAAAAAATCTCCCATATCTCCAGACACTAGAAGTAAAGATCTTGTGGCAGAAATTGATGCTGATTCTCGCATGGTCAACCATTGCCTCCAAGAGGCAGAAATGTTGGAACAACAGTTATCTCGCAAACTTCAAAGGCAACACCAAGATGGCTCATCAAGCATTTCTCATTACATACAAAAGAGCTCTTCAAAAACTCATTTAGTTTCTGAAAACAACAAATCTTCAAAAAACACTGGCTCACGGCTTCAGAAAGCTTCTTCTACTAGTCAAATAAAAAATCTTGTAGGTTCACCAAGAGGAAGAAGCCCTGGTAGAGCTGTTAAAAGTAACGCATCAAGCCCTTCTATTGGGCATCCTCCTCGTATTTTGAGGTGTAGTGACTCTGCAAAAGAGAGAGTTCCTTCTAGAAAATCTTCACAGTCCCCTAAAGGTAGCACAACCCCTATGCCAAGGTCTCTAAGGTCTATGGAGAGCATTGCTAAGCAGTTACCTATTTCATCTACTAATGTATTAAAACGAGTGTCGCAAAGGTCAAATAGGTCCAAAGCCATCACTGTGAATAATGTTCGAACTCCTATTATAGGGCCAAAATAGCTCCTACTAAAGCTATTTTATAAGCACAGTATGTCTATATATAATAATTTATGTTGCAGAAACTCAGCACAATTTTTAGAGAAATCTATATATGTACATATTTTTGTTTCTATGCATCATTTACCCGTAATGTGTGTGTATTGACATTTAAAAAAAGGAATAAGTATTGAAATGTTATAAAGCAGCGTAAGTCGTAGTAATGTTTCAATAGTTTTATTTAGAAGACATATAAATTGAAAACAAAATTATTATGTGTATTAAGATGTGTGTTAACTTTCTAAGCATTTCAAGGCTTTTCTTATTTATAAAAGGAAGTATTTATTTGTACTTTTTATTTTTAGTCAGGTGTAGTTTGTACGAAACAGGAAGTATGATAGATTTTGCACTTAAAAATATTTTTAATCTGTTTCCTCTTAAGTATACCTTTTTGGTTTTAGATTTTTCTTCTGCTTTTTCTTGTTTCTGTATCCTAAAGATTATTTTGTAGACAATTGTTAAAGAACTATCCAGAAATAAACTCTAGCCACTCACTGTCTTGTTCGCAATACTTACATTCTCATATTTATTATTTTTTAAATGCTGATACGTAATGAAAAAATACATCTTCATGCAAAAAAAAGGAAGAAGAAAGCTTGCTAATGGTTCCTACTAATAAAAATTATTAAGAATTTTAATTTATATTATTATTTATACTATAACATGTAAAAATAATATGTGTTGGTATATTTTTGGATTTTTTATGCAATAGCAAGTTGCTTTCTTCTTGTAGAATTTATTTAAAGGAAAAATGAATTTATTTAAATTAATTTAGATTAATTAAATAGCTATTTAAATTAATTGTAATTAATTAAAATAGCTATGGTAATTATATCATTATTTATAAAATATATTAATTTTAATTATAAAATTATATTATTGTATTTATTAATTATTTAATTATTATATAATTATATATGGATTTATTTATTAATTAAAATAAATATAATTTTTATTTTCATTTTTTCTTTATCATTATAAATGGAAATAAAATACTCTGTGTACTTTTTTTACGCGAACAGAAAAATAATTTTGTGATTGTAGAATTTATTAAAAGAAAATTTAAGCTTCTTTTAGTTTTATATGATAATATCATTTATTCTCGTTTTTCTTCTTTTTATAACGTTGAGGCTTCTTTCAAATAATGCAACTGAAGATATTGTAATGCTATTTATAATCATCAAAACTATAAAAAATTATAAATCAACCATTTTTGCTCCAGTAAATGTTATACATTTATTGGAGAAAAAGCTTATTATATATTTAATGGAGCATAATATAATGACATAATAATATTATTATTATTATTGTTATTATATATTAATTAATTTATTATTTTATTATTGTTATAAATAAGTAATGTTATTATTATTTAACCTAATAATTTATAATAAATAAATAATGTGTTGGAAACAAAATATATAATTTATTATATATTTATTAGAGCATAATATGATATATTACATTCCAAAAGAAAAAATGGAAAATTTCCTTAAATCTGCGTGTAGGATTTTTTTGCGAAATTTATTTCTTATAAAATTAATTTATGCATGATATCACATTCCTATGTAGAACTGCTCATATTTCATTAATAAGAATTTTAAAAATTTCTTGTTAGCATTTAAGAAGATAGTCAGAAATCCTATGTTCAGACATTTATTAGTAATAAGAGAATATTATAATAGTAGAGTTATCGTTTCACATCATATTGTAGATATGCTCATTAGTGTTAATATAAACATACTAAAGCTAGTCATGTAAGAATAGTGTCATTATTTTGTTTCTCAAAGTGGTGCTACTTTTGTGTTTATGCATGTTAATAATTTTATTTCATAATTTGTTATTCCTTTTTAAATAATTATTCCTGAATTTTTATTAATGACGTAGTCTTTTTAAAATATAATAAACTATTAAAGTAGTCATTTTGTTTTCAATATTTATTTATATTGCCGTTACCTTTTAAGTTAAGTTATGAAAGCTTCATAGTTAGTTCAAGTACAAAGTAAACAGAGCCTTAAATTTTTAACTGTAGAAGTTATCAAATATGTTAAACGAAAACTTATTTCAACTCTTTAGTGATCTTTAGTGCTGCATTATTCTACCCCATTTGATTTAATGGAGAACTCTCTGCTGTAGGGTTTGATAAGCAAAACTTTTTATGTATTAATTGTTAAATTAATTTCTGCATATTTACAGTCAGGATAGTCATATATCCAGTCAGTTTATAGTCATATTTACAATCCTATGAAATTATAAGATAATTTCTGCAGCTGCTTTGATAATTTTTATTACAACAATGTATGATTTTATTTATCGGAAGCAACATTTTTTGCGTCACATTGAAAAATGGTATTTTTGGGGAGATTTATGTATTTTATAATATTTGGAACAATATGAAAATAATAAATGACATCAAAGACATTTCCGAGAAAAGTTACACTATAAGCAACACCAATAACATGTCTCGCATATGCAGATCCCAGAATAAAATGGGATGTCAGACAGCAATGAATTTTTTTAATTGTTTGCTACTGCTGCTGTTTTTGTCAAGTTAATAACCTCAGGGACCTAATAAAATTATAACATTTTTATATCATTATTTACGTCTTTATCTGTTGTATTTATTTTCTATGTTATCGTCGTTTCATTTCATTTTTTATTTTAAATTAGCACCTATTGTTTTAGCCGTTGACAATTTATTTCCCTTTATGCACAAGTATTTCAACTTTTTTATAAAAGTATTTTCATTGCTTTAAAATAATTATTTTCCTCTTGTGATGTGTATAATATATAATTGCGCAAAATAGGAAAGATTATGTTTTGTTGAATTTAACACAAAATACGTATCGGTTGCTTTACAGCAAAGGAAAGAGATGGCAAACTTGAATATCTGTGTTGGTAAAAAGGAACACAATTTGGTAAATCTTACTTTGTTCATGATTAAATATTCAATTAACAATCTATATTATTATAATTTACAATCCATATTTTCTTGTATTTTGTTAAAAGAAATTGTTTAGTAAATATTATTTTAATTAATTATTTAAAAAATTATTCTGTTATTCATAAAACTGATAAAATTAATCTTACTGTTTTCATAATTGTGTAAAAAAAAAAAGAATTTTGTGGTCAAAACTTTTACCTTATATTATATGAGTACATTTATTTGTAATAAATTCATGTTCAGTGATATGATGCATTTACAATATTAGTTGCGAACATTATTTAAACTTAAATATAATTTTGTTATGTAACTTTAACGTTCTTAAAAGTTGTATTAATTCTAAATTCATGGAAAGTTGTGCAAATTTTTGCTTACTTGGAAAGTAGAATAATGTTGCATATTTATTTTACTTCCGATTGCCACCAGATGAATGCACAAATTGATTTAAATTCTGAACATATATTGCAAAGTCTAATGCGTTCTTTCATGCAACAGATTTTCCATTTTATAGACATTATGGAGCAGAAGTGAATGTATTTCATATTACAAGCAAGCACATTTGTCATTCGATAAATTATTTCTTCTAATACTTCTGATCTCATTTAAAAGTACATAAAAACAGGTTAGGTTAGGTTATTTAATCACGGCAAAGCCTCTAGGGCTATCTGCCTAAGGGGAGGGATACCTTCGTGGAGGACTTTCTAAGGGAAACTGGCTCGTATACACGTTACACATGGAGAAAACGACGAAAACACCCATGCAGCCAGCCCGTTCGCGGAATTCGAACCTTGGACCGAACTACTTGTGTTCAGCGACTTTACCGCTCGGCCGCTGGTGGGCTCCCACAGAAAAACAGGATTTTTATATATTCACGTTTAAGATCAGAACTACATAAAAAAATCTGTGTAATTAATTGAAATAAAATTACAAAATATTATATACTATTAGCTTTAGAAAGAGATGTTTTACACAGTATACTTTGTAATAACTTCAATATTTATGTTTATTGTAACCATTCAAGTAGGTTTAGGAAAATTTTGTAATTCAGTTAAAGTGTTTCTTTGGATTCTGTGTAATTCTTTATCAAAGGATACATTTTATGTGTGTTACTGTATCAGAAAGCTGAAAAATTGTTTAAAATTTAAATGGATTTTGTAGATAATTGTCTAGCCTAAATTAGCGTTAAGTTCAATAATGTTTCCGATATGTAATTCTCTTTGTTCATTTTCTGTAAAATTATCTGGTTGCTTTAATTTCTTTTTTATATATACGCTTTTGTGAAAACATGTGCTTCCATATACTATATTTGATACATACATCAACTTTAAATCTTCTGTCTTGTATTAATACTTTTAATTTATAAATTTTTCTTATATATTTATGGTGCTGCATTTTTATGTAATTCTTCTAAAAATATAAAATTTTTGATCTTGTGAATTCGTAATAATGGCATTTTAATTCATGCCATTTTTCAGATTCCAAATTAAAATAATTTTTGTTTTACATTAAATAATGTTTTACAAATGGTATATTGACAAACTATACATTTTTGGTGAAATGGTGCTTTAGCAGGAGAATAGTGTGTAGCGTGTTTCGAAAAATTCGGGAATCGGTACTTGTGTATTAGCCGAGCGCAAATGTTTTATCCCTATTCACATCGATGAGAGATGATAAATGATCAACTTAGTAGTCGTATCAAAAGCGCAAGCAATGCGAGAAACAAATTGAAATTTGAAGTTATAATTTTGGGGATCTTTATAATTATATGCTGCACTAAGCGGGAAAATGACAAAGGGTGGGTTTTTTTTTTTTTTTTTTATTGAAAACTTTAGACTACATTTTAACGCTTCAAAAAAGAAATTTCTATTAAAATGTTTTGATTTTTTTTAAATGTTAAAATAACTTAAAAAGTCTGAAAATTTTTAATTTTAAAAAATCGCAGTTGATTTTGTATTTAGATTTTAATTTAATACCTGAAACAGTGCTAGGCTAATTTGTCTAGATAGGCGTACTGTTTGAAGAATTAATCATACGCAACGTAAAATCATTACATTAAAAATATGCTGTTCAAAATAGTGGTGGCAAACTTAACTTTTTACGATTATAAATTAGAAGTTTTTATAATATTATTTTACCATAAAATAACAAAATATGAAAATTTTGCCTTATTTAACAAAGAAAAAATTTAATTATTTTAAAGATGCAGCACTACACATTTTTTATTGGATCACATACCAACGAAATTTGCGATAATGTTAAGAAAACGGTGATTCAAATTTAATCATCGAAGTGGACGAAAGCTTTCTGTCTTGAACGTAAAACTAAGTTAACCATATGCTTCTTCACTGCAACAGATATTCGCTGCTGTCTTCAGGAACTAATGAGTACGCTCAATTAAAGATCCATTTTATATTTAAATACTTTGAAATCTGCACAATAGAATTTAAAAACAGTTCGTTTTGTAGACATCGGAATTATTGCAAATAAGTTTCATACGCCGGGAAGTGGCGATTAGCCAAATATAAGAAAGACCCTTGTATTTTAATTTAATAAGGATGCCATATTTGGCAATTTATCATAATTCCTCAATAGCGCGAAACCATTTTACCTTTCGCTAGTAGACAAGTACTCGATAATCTTGTAATCAGATTAATAGTTAAATTATTCATTTAAATATGTATGAAAACTTTTAATATTATAGTATCTGCTTAAATCAATTTTATATTAAGAACGCAAATGTGAATACTGTTCTAGTGAAACAATTAACGCTTT